TACATATAACTTTAAATTTGAAAAAAGAAATATTATTAATTCTAATATATCTTTCTTTTTTAGCATTAGTGATCAAAAATAAGGTCTAGTAATAATATAGGTAAGTTAATTAAAGAGTAAAAATTTATTTTAAAATTATAGGATACTTTTTAAAAATCTGAAAAGTTAATAATAATTTGTTAATAAAATTTCTTTTTCAGTGATAGATTTTTCTAATATATTTATATTAGAGATTTGAATTATTATTTTATAGTTAATTATCTAAATATAACTAATTGATTATGATGATCAATTAAATAAAAATATTAATTAATTATTTAGTTATTTAATTAATTATTACTAACTATAAATAAATAATCAAATAATTAAATAATATCTATTATTTAATAAATATTATTAATGTTAGAAATAGATATTATTACAAATGCAAAAAATTATCATAGGATAACTATCAGGTGATAACATATAGTAATGATCAATAATTACTATAATAAGCAAATTAAAAAATACTAAAGATTTACCTGATTAATTAAATTTACTTGATTCTACTAATACTGTAAATTTTATTTATACTTATAATAATAAATAATTTTCATTTTTAAAATATCTTTATTATATATATTATTTTATTTATTTTTATTATTTTCTTTTTTTTTATTTATTATTATATAATCAAAATTTATAAAAATAATTAGTTTATAATATAATAAATTAGTTTATCATAGCAAATTAATTTTATATAAATAGAATAGCTTTTGTTCAAGTTATAAATTAACACTTTTGTAAGTTTTTAAACTCATTTGTAAGTTTCTTATGAGTTTTAAATTATTAATAAAGAAATCAATTTAAATCTATACAAATTACTTTTTCTTTTAACATTATCTCTTATTTAGGATTTATTGTGATATTTTACATTAACTTATTTTTGAGTTTGTCATTATGAATTTGATTAAATATATCTTAAATTTTAAGACATAATAAATTGCTAAATTGCTTCAAGTATAACAAATATCTGTAAGATTTAAAAAAATCCTAAAGTCAGAAACTATAATATAAAAAATTAATTACTACAATTTTTTTGATTTAAATGTTAAGATAACCAAAAATAAACCTGATATTATGCTTAATTTATTTATTTGGTTAATTTATTCATAATACTTAAAAATTCTAAGGATATCAAACAGTAAGAAATAAGTTAATAAGCTTACTTGAAATTAGGGTAAACTATATTATTTCTTTTAGTTTATTAAACTTATTCTTAATTATTCATTTCTTAAGAAATACAGGTCAAGATTAAAGGTTATTTTTATTAAAAGTATTATTTTCTAATTTTCTTCAAATTTTTCAAAAAGACTATTAACTCTCAAATTTGATTGTTTACCCTTGACTTTCATGGCTATTTATTTGAAAATATTATGTAATATTAAGCTAACTATAATAATTGATATAACTATGGTATAGCTGGCTAATCCTGTATCATTTGCTGTTAAAATCACTGTGTATGTGTACTATCTGTATATAATTCTATCTTATTTCTATTATTTCTACCTATATTTCTATTTTCTGTTTCTGTTTTCTATTTCTATTTTTCTTATCTATTCTAATCATATTTGTTTAACAAATATTTACTGTGCTAAATTATATGATTTACTATTTCTTAATCAATATATTATCTTATGTAATTACTATTTTGTTATTTAATAAATTACTTTCTTGATAATTATAATCTAGTAAATCACTATTCAATTAATTAGATTTATAATACTAGTGATAATATATTACTATATATGTATACATATAATATCTAAATTAATTAAATAAATACATGAAAGATATTTTAACTTTAAATTTATTTTCATATTTTTTTATATAAATTTTATTTTATAAAATAAATTTAAAAATATTATGATAAAAATTATAATGATGATGTTTCTTTTAGAATAAAAAATAATTTTAAATATTTCTGTAATATATCTAGAATTTTAATTAATAAAAATACAGATAATATTATAAAAAGAATATAATATAAAGATCTGATAGATAAGCTAAGTAAAGTTTTTTATAAAAATTCTTTGATAAAAAAAATAATTCCAGTAGATATTATAAAATAATAGCTCATAAATCTTTTTTATAATAATAAACTATATACTATTATATATATAACTTTAGATAATATAAGTAATGTAATACTAATATATATAGAATTTTAAATAAAAATAAAGTTTATGTTAAGATCATAAAATTTTTTAATAAATTTTTTTTATCATTTTTTATTCATTAATAAAATACTTTTTTTAATAAATTTCTTAATTTTTTAATATATGAAACTATTAAAAATAAAATATTTAATAAATATATTAATAATTTAAATATTAAGTAGTAAATAGAAATTAAGTAATTTAAGCCTAATAGAAATCTTATGTAATAAATACTTTATAGAGCAAAATTATATTTTCAAAATTTTTACTTCATTAAATTCTTATTATTTTTACTAAATAAAAATAATATTAAATTAATATTATATTAAACTTATGATTAATATTGTTAGTAAATTTATTATATAATATTGTATTGATTCGCTGTATTGATTTAAAGTCTCTAAAACGTAGTCTCTGAAATATCTTTGAGTTATCTTTATGTTTATTTTGTATTTATTTTACATGATTTTATATTGAGAATAATCTTTGACATTATTATGAATCCCCACTCATGATTTCTTAGTTATTGTCTTAATTTTATTTACCCTTTTGAAATTTTATTTGAAGTTACGAAACTATTATAATAATATATAATAAATATTTATAGTATTAAGAAATAGATAAATTTGGTCAATCAGGTAAATTATATAAATTCTTAATTTCTTTCTATTTTTCTTGATATAATATTTATTAATTATTACTATATATTATCACTTGATAATTCTCATGTGATATTTTTATAATATAGTAATATTCATTTCTAATACTGATATTATATATTGATAACTTTTTAAAATAGCAAGAATTATTTTATTATTTAAAAATAATATAAGAATAAATAAATAATTTATTTAAAATTAAAATAATAGTAATTATAATAATTAAAAATAATAAGTAATTAAAATTAATGTTTATTATTAAAATAATTATTTATAATTTTATGTAGCTTAAAATACAATTAATTCTCAATAACAAATTTGTAGTGTAATAAATTTTTGTATTTCACATAATATTTAACTAATAAAATATATCAAAACAGATAAATTATAATAATATAAGCATATTTAAAAATAATAATTGATAAATTATCTTTTAATAAAAGTTAATTAAAAGTTTTAAACATTGATAAATTTATAATAGAAAAAAATTTACAATTTTAATTTTTTATTACTTAATTTTGCATTTAAATTATTGTAAAAAAGAAATAAATTTAGTAAAATTATTACAAATTTAAAAAACAATTTTTTTCTTATTTTATATATTATATTTAGATAAAAATAATAATACATTTATAAATATATAATTAAATTATTAAAATCAGAAATGTTCTTTTTAAGTAAAATCTTTAAATTATTTAAAACTTACTAAATTTCATTAAAATATTGATAAATTATTCAATTTCAAATATTAAATTTAACAGAATTTACTTATATATTTTTTTAAATTTAAATTTAATAACTTTAAAAAAGGTGTGATCTCTTATAAGTAATATATAAATTTAATATGTAATTATTATTTATAAAAAAACTGCTAAAATTATATAAATATTATATAAAAAAATCTGATTAAAAAATCTAAAACATTTTTAAATATTTTTATTGAGTTAAATTATAATATTAATAATAATAATATATAGATAAAGATAATATAGATGAGAATGAATTTTGAGTAATTTTAAAAAATATATTAATTAAAATAATTAATAATATTAATATTTTTGAATTTAGTAAAATTTAAAATTATCTATTTTACTTAAATTATTTACAACTAATCAAAGAAGAATAGTAAAGAAATTGATTTGATATTATTAAAATATAATAATTAAACAATAAAATTTTGTATTTATAATATTAATAATTTAATTATTAACTAAAAAGATTTAAGATATTTATTAAATTCTATTACTATATATGATCAAATCAGATATTAGAATTCTAATTTAAAAAGATAAGTTAAAAAAGATTTTTTATTATTAATATATTTTGTAAAATGTTTAGTATAACTTAAAAGAATTATTTTTTAGTTTTAAATAGTATAGATTTGAATCCTATTAAAAATATATAAGCTAAATTAAGATAAAATAGAGAAAAGTTAGAATTTATAATATAAAAATTATCTGTGATATATTTTTTAATAAAAATAAAATAATATCGATAATATTAATTATTTAAATATATTAAAAGTATATCAAATTAGATTGAATAAAGTAAATCTTAATTTAAAATTTAAAATTTTTTTATTAGTATTAATTTTATAAAGCTATAATAATAATAAAGTTTGTATATATTATTAAAAAATATGTTTATTATTCTTTTTTACTAGAAACTGTATATTAATATAAATACTTTATAATAGAAAGAAAAAAAATTTATTTTAAGTTAATATTTTAATTGGATTTATTTACTAAAAAAAAAAATTATATTTTAATGTAAAAATTAAAATCAATTTTTTTTTGTAATTTCTTTCATTTATCTATAATTTATAAAAAAAAATTTTATTATAAAAGTATTATTTAAGGTTTAAAATAAATATTAATAATTTTAGGAATTAAAATTTAGTATTAACAAATAAAATTAATCATCCAATCAGGATTTGTTTATGTTGATACTTTCGAACTTAAAGATAAGTTTTAAAATTTTTGTCATTCGCCTTCCTTTTAAAATATTGTTTGTGTGGTATTGTCAAGGATTTACTAATAACTTTATTCGTTTTCTATAGTCGCTGGAGGTTTATCCTCCTTTGTTGTAGAGATGTTTTCATAAATATCTCAAGAGGCTTTGCCCAGGGTTTTGTCGTTTCCCCCTAAATGGCTTTCCAGCGTCTGTAGGTACCGCTTGAACGACCTTCTTTTATTCTACTTCTCTTACCATCTGTACTGCCAAGTCTTTCTTCATAAGTGGTAACATTAGTAAGTTCCTCGCTTCCATTCGTACGTTGTCCTTTGATGAGTTGCATCGTTTGGTCGAAACTTACTATAATAATTTTTGCTACCTTCCTTTATTCCTAATAAACGAAGTATATATGGGATATAATTTCACGTTACTCGTAATATGATTTACTATTCCATATTCCTATATGGTTACGTTCATTCATTCGATTTCATATAGATGAGAACGTTCTGTTCTTTACCTCTTTGCGACCAGGGTGAGGGCATTACGAGGTGGGTTGAGATAAGGATGCCGTTGTTAGCTATTATTCTATATCTTCATGAGCTAAGGATTTTAGAAACAATCTCGGTTGTAACCCTGCATAATCGTTTTGGAATGTACGCGAGGTCGGGTGAAACTTATGTTGACGACCATTAGACATCCACTCCGGTATGGTCATAATGGTTTGGCTTAGGCTTAGGCTTGGTTGGTTCGATTCCAACGATGACCCTCACTTTAATCAATAAAAGTTTATGATGTGATGTTTTTAAGTTCAACAGAAAAAAAAAAAAAAAATTTTTTTTAAGTTTAACGAAGGTTTCAGATTTCGTACCGTACCGATAATTGGAGGAATTCAAGATAGAAATCAACCGAATAGACGGAATTGGCATAAGAACTTGTTAATTATACGTTTATACGTCGATATTTATATATATATATACTGTATTGATTATATACAAAAAATTGTTTTTTATTGATTTTATTTGAAACGAATATTCTTATACAAATAAAAAAATTTTTTTTTTTTTTCAAAGAAGCGCAGCCTTATTAAAAAATTAAAACCCCAAGCTGATATTACTAAAAGAATCAAGCCAAATCTTCCACAAAATAATAACGGGAAAAAAAAATTTCATAAAATATTTTCTCCCTTTTTTTCATAACCGACTAGTAAAAATTACATTAAAATGTCTGTTAAATGAAATATCTAAAGTAAAAAAAAAAAAAAAAATTATCAATCACGCTCAAGAAATTCACAATTGAATGGTAAATTCTTGTGAATCAGTCCAATTACAGAGATATCCATTATTATTTAAATCCTCCTTTTTTGATAATTCATACGCGATTATTTCTTTAAGTTGGGAAATTAAATGTGGCCAATTAATGAGACATTCATAAATTGATTCTTCCCATAAATCATCGGGCATCATACGCCTTGGAGTGAGCAATATTTGAACGAAATGACTATATAATTTAGAATCTTCACAAGTCTGTTCGTGTTCTTCAACATTCGCTCTTATTTCATCAACAAAATCTTCGCTGTATTCTCTTTCTAGGAGATAATCATCGCTGTCTGAATTTAAATCGATTAAATCATCGGTTGTAAATTCACAAGTATACGCCTTACAATTCTTATCTTGTAAATGATGTCCTAATCTCACTCGACATTCTTGACTCAAATAGACTTTTGCATCTATAAAGAATTCTGGATATAAATTTTCTAAATTTGCCAATTTCTCGGGATAGTTACGTATCTCCTTTATGTCCACACCCTGAAATTGAATGATGTCATCATCTCTTGATTGTCTCCTACTATTACCCGTGGCCGTTGAGTTGATTGAAGGGGCGTATCCGTAATCGTCATCGATTTCCGAGGTTTGACCTGGTGCAGTTTCATCGTAATAATAGATGCTCTCGTTTATTGGTTCAGCTTGCAGATTATTACATATCAAATCTTCAAATTTCGAAAGAAGAGGGTTTGTAGGATTTATGAATTCACTAACGGTGTCGTACCATTCTTTATCAGGTACAATTTCAGATTTTGCATAAAGAACTCTTAAGAACCTTTGCCATTCTTCACCCGAACAACTTATTGATTGTTTAACCTTTTCAAAATGATGTTTGTTGAGAGTTATTATTTCTTGTACTTTTCTATCACGATTATTCAAATCATGTAAGATGTCCCTATGTCTATCATCATCGTCACTTAAATCAAGAGCACTTAATGGAGACGCTAATGAATTAACCAAGGGATCACCATGATCTACATGAGTGAACCGAGAGAATTGAGGCAAAGCGGATATCTCATCACCACTTTCATCCATACCATCATCACCTTCATTCATATTTATTTCATCATATTTGCCGTTATAATCTGGTGGAGGAGTGATGGGAAATGTAGAATACGAAGTATTTTGATATAAATGATTTTCGACAGGTGGCGATAACGGTGATCTTGGGACTACAAGTTCATCCAATCTGGATAAGGTTTCTCTATCATCCCTTGTTTGGAAATCAGTATATGAAGTCATTTTACAATATTATATAGTTTTAAAAATTATTATATATTTTTTTTTTTTGTTATGCGATTGAATAAATTTTTTTTTTTTTTAAAAAATTTTTTTTAGAAAAAAAAAAAAAAAAGAAATATTTGTTAAGAGTATTTATATATAAACGTGAGAAACTTTTTCAACGCCTAAATGTTGTGCAACAAACTTTTAAAGATTTTGTTTTTGTCACAGCTAGCTCAGATCAGCTAATAAGATCATGAGTGAATAATTATATCATTTTCAAAAATCTACTTCTTACTAATTATGACATAAGATCGTTTTTTCACGAAAATTCTTTTGGTATGGATATATATTTGTTTATTGAACGAATCAATACTTAAAGGTTACACGATGAATCTGTGCCACAAAATGATAATTACTCGATCGTGCAACGGGAAATATTAATTACGCCGCCAACTATTCATCTCCCTAAATAAATTAGCTTAAATTTTTTATTCCAACAATTAACAGAAAGAGGAATGAATAGAAACTTGTTTCATAATCAAAATGAAATTATATCATCCAGCGTATGGCTCAGTATATGCAGAAAGTAATAACAAAACGCTAATATTAGTGTTTTTTTCTTGAAATCATCTGCAAGAGAAAGAGCTTCCAACAACCAATTAAAATCCATAAAAGGGACCAATGAGTATTCAGTGGAACAATTCACAAAATGCAAGTTTTTTCAGTCTTCCCACTTTGTAGTACAAGATGTTGGGGTTACTGAATTTTGAGAATTTTGTAATATTAGATAGTTGACCAGATGAGGAAAAAAATTTGATAAATAATAATAAAAAAAAAAATACTGTTAGTTAACCTTGCAATTGTAAATAACTAAATAAATTTATTATTAATTAATCATAATTTTTATTAAATGTAACTATTCATATTTGAAATAAAATAGTAGATTAATTGTAAACGTTTAAAATTCTACCTTGTCATTCCTCTTTTTTAACCCAATAAACCTGGGGGTTGAAAAATGTGAACATTTTCATCCCAAGCACATGTAGCAATTTGACCTTCAATGTACAAATTAAAATCCAAACCCACTACGAATTCAGAATGACCGTCATAAACATTCACTAAAGGATTGGTTTGTCTTGAAATATCCCATATTCTCATAGTCATGTCGTAACTAACACTAGCAATTATGTTTCCATTATGCGGAGAACATTTTACCCTTCTTACAGCATATTCATGACCTCGTAAACATAATAATTCACGATCAGGTCTTCTCAAATCCCATACTTTAACGGATTTATCAGAGGACGCTGTAACTATTATATTTTCTTGGTATTTATTCCAATCCATTGAAAGGGTTTCAAAATTTGTATGTGATTGTATTGTTTGTATTGAATGAGGAAGTTTGATATCCCAAATTTTTACCGTATTATCTCCTGACGCTGAACCAAATAAATCTGGATTATTAGGGGACCATATCGTATTATAAATGCAATTTGAATGTTCCATATTGAATGTGATCAGTGATTGTGGTCTCTCCGGTGACCACTTTTTTTTTTTTTTTAAAAAAAAAAAAAAATAAGAAAAAGAAATTAAATATACTAAACTTAACCGTAATTTAAATAAAATTAAGAAAGAATTCGTTGATTTTATATATCTACCAATTTGATTGAATGATCCCATGATCCACTGACAAACGTGTCCTTTTTAATAAGATTCCACTGAACCGAAAATACCTCTCTACTATGCTCATGCCAATTTTGAATTGGAAATTCCTAAATTACCCCCAAAAAAAATTTATTAAATGATAATTATAATTAATAAATTAATTCGTTTAATTATACTTAACGGCTAATTTGATATCCCATAATTTTATAGAACCATCACCACTTGCTGTTACTACTTGATTCTCATTAATTTCACTCCATGAACAATCAAATATTCCGTCTTGCGTATCATATCTAATTCAAATTAACTAAATCAGTTAAAACAATTTTTTTTTAAAAAAAAAACAAAGATTGTTATCGAATGATTATAATTTACATTCTTTCAACCTCAACACCTTCAGGTCCAATCCCGGTATTTAAAATAAATAGTCTCCCGTTACCCACTAACCCAAAATTTGCTGAAGTAGCACATGCTATTTTATTCTCAATAAACGGACTAAATTGTAGCTAAATAAGAAAAAAGGTAAAAGAATAATTTTGAATTTGAATGAATAAAAAAAAAAAGTTGAAACAAAATGATTAAACAAATTACCGAATATCCATTATACCCTTGAGTTCGAAATTTCAGCATGAGAAAAAAATTTTCTTTCCCAACATATAAAATATAAAAGTAGTTGATTCATGGTGAAGTTTTTAGAAAAACAATTCGGGTTTTAATAGGCAAATCGGGAAAATAGATTGATTCCGTGATATAATTGAGATGTTAAGATAATCTACATTATAATCCACGTGAAACTTATGGCGGTTAATTTTTAGCTTCCAAAAAACTGTATCCATTTTTTGCGCAACTAATTTGGTGCAACCATTCTGGAAGTATCTGTCATCACAAGTATTCCAAACATTCGTTTATATAAAGAAGTAAATGCTCTATGAATACTTTATAATGTGCTATAGAGGATATTAAAATGTCACTATGAGATATCATGGGCAACCATTGGTAAACATAGATAAAACATTGCTGATCCTAAAAACGACTGTTTATCTTAAAATTTTTTTCGAAAGTATAAAAATCCTACCTTATGAAGGATTTCGAACGTAGAAATTCAAGGCAAATTTGCTCATACAAGAAAAATAAAAATTAAAATAATCTTTAAGATGATTTGTAGCGACTATTTGATCTTTTCATATGAAATTTTAGCTGTTATGAAAAATAAGAACTTCTTTCCCCCAATTTTTCAAATCATACCAATTATAAAAGTCATTTATCAAAATTATATTGTAGAAGATCACAAAAAAGCAGATTTTCAAACTCTTCATGTTAGGGTTATGTACCAGAATGTATTTATTATTTTAATTTCGATATTTAATGATTTTTGAAATTTACTGATCGATTCCTCCGCGTTGAAATGAACTTCTTTTAAATCTTAAATGGTCATTTCTTTTGACCTACTGTCCGATTTAAGCTAATTAAAAATACTTTCACTTGTACCGAATTCAGCTCATTTAATCAGAATGAACGCAAATGTGGAAATCTCATTCGCGATTTCTTTTTCATGTAAATACTATTATAAAATCGTCCTTAATATGATTTCCATGAATTAACTGCATTAACATTTGAACAAGTTGCACAAGGGGGTAAATGCATAATGATAATCATCAATTTGTTCCATTGTTTAGATTTTTATTACATAACTTTAATACTTCCTTTTCAATATTGTATGTCGTTATGTAATTTACAAAAAAAAAAATTTCATTGCTTTTAATAATGTGATTGAATATTAAAACGTTGTTTTTGTTTTTTCAAAAAAAAAATCTTCTCTTCCCTTTTGAATAAATAATAAACGATGTTAAATTCTTTATCAAACGATTTATCAAAATTAATCTTGGATGCTGAAGATTTCGATTATAATGTCGTTATTAAGGTTGGAAAATCACCTAATATCTCTCGATTTAAAGCACATACTTGTATATTACGTTCCAGGTCTCCTTATTTTTATTCGGCTTTATCTAAAAACTGGGCCAGGAAAGAAAGAAATGTTATCATTTTCGAAAAACAAAACATCACCGCCCATGTTTTTAATATGATATTAGGGTACATTGAAGAAGATGCTATTGTGTGCCCCTTTTTATGTTTGACTCAAATTTTAACAAAACTCATTTTTGACTTACAGTTATATATATTCGGGAAAAATCTCTCTCGAGCAAGAACATCCGACAACTTTGATGGATTTATTGTCAGCCGCTGATGAATTAATCATTCTCGAATTAATTACTCATGTACAAGTTTATCTTCTTGAAAAGCACATCGAATGGATTAGACAACATCCTCTTCAGGTTCTGGATCATACAGCATTTCGTCTTGAGACGTGTATAAAATTACAAGATGTATGCTTAAAAGTAATTTGTTCGAATCCGGAATTAATATTCGGCACAACGGCTTTCACAAATATAGAAGAATCGATGCTGATCTCTATCCTTGAACGAGATGATCTTCAATTGGATGAGGTTGATTTATGGGATTATGTAATACAATGGGGAATCGCTCATACTTTTTCATCAGATCAAATTTCAATTGATTATCAATGGTCAAGAAATGACCTTTTAGAGTTGGCCGAAACCTTACAAAATTGCATTCCCCTTATTAGGTTTAATTATATAAACAATAAGGATTTACCAATTAAACTAAAACCTTATGAAGTGTTATTACCGAATAAACCTTCTGAAAATATAAATTCGTTTTTGCGTGAAAACAATTATAATGAAGGAGAACTTCATGTGAAGACGAACGATGCACAAAATATTAATTATTCCCCCATAGATTCAAATATTATCAAATTGAAACATGCAGCACTCATAGCTCATTGGATAGATCATCAAGACGACACGAACATTCGCGTGTGTAGGAATTATCCTACTTATGATTTCAAACTTCTTTTAAAAGGTAGTTTGAATGGTTTTGGCGCGAGTACATTTCATGAATTATGTGATAATAAAGATGCCACAGTTGTTATCATGAAGGTTTCCGATACGGGAGAGATTATTGGAGGATATAATCCTGTTAGTTGGAAAGGTGGCTTTTATGGTTCTTGGGAGAAATCACAAGATAGTTTTATTTTTTCTTTAGGTGATAGTGAAAATAATTCTATAGAATCAACAAAGTTCCATAAAGTTAAACAGGAACATGTAAATATGGCTTTATTTTGTGCTGATATGCGCGGTCCGTGTTTTGGATGTCGGGATTTATGGATGTCAAATTTTAACAATTTGGCTATCAATTGTAATTGCGATGGCAATTATTACGATGGTAAAATTTTGGAATCAAAGAATTTTAGTGTCGAAGATTATGAAGTTTTTCAAATCGTTAAGAAAATAAATTTATGAAATAAAAAACATTTGTTTAATTAATAAATAAATCATTTGTCACTTTCTCAAAATTAACTTCTCTATGCTCCAATCTTCTTTTTCCATGACATGTGAATGTCGGAAAATCAATTTTAATTGCCAAATATGATTTTCAGAACTCTTTTTATTTTTGCAATGTCGATTCGATCTAATCAAAATTATTGTCAAATTCATAATGACGATCATCATTATTAATTAGACCTGATATTTTTTTTTGCTGATCGACATTATATTGGTACACGCACTAATCCTAATAGAATATTGGTATTTTGAACGGGTCTTCGACCGATATTTTAACGCCCCGTTCAATAACATACAATTATTTATCAACGCAAGCACAATAACGATATTATCGTGTGCTTTTATGATGTTAACTTAAAATTATGAAGAAGTTCATTATCATTCTCTTTCTCGTCATTTATACTGAATTCTTTTAAAAAAATTGAACCACTTTAAAACCACGAAAAAAGGTAAACTATTTGTTTTCTTATGATAAGCTTATAATTAAACAAATCTTTATTTTAGGCGAATTATACTTTTGAATAACCTACTATAACGAAAATCTTAAATATTTATAGAAGACGAATTGCTTTATTCAATAAAAAAGCAACTATTTTATGCTAACAAACTATAATGCATCTACGATTATTTTTTTGAAAAATATAGATGAAAATACAACCAATAATGCTGCAACAATGAAAAAAGATCCCTTTTGTCAACCAATACAGATACTACAGTCAGGGAATATACCAAATATTGGTTAAAATTAAAAAATTTTTAAGAACATTATAAAATTTTTTAAATTTTTTAAAATTTTGAATATTTCTGAATTTTCATTTATCAATACTATTATACTAAAAAAATTATTTATTTCTTAGAGAAAGAATTTCTCAATAAAAATTTCCTTGTAAAAAAATTTTTCACACTTTAAATAATCCTGATTATGCAAGCTTTATCTCTTGTAATATGCATAACAATTTCAATTTATTCCGCTTTTATGACTTCAATCCAGAATATTTTTTTGAACATTTTTACCAAACTGTTTAAGAAGACTTTCTATATTTAGCAATATTTCAGATTTGATCATATTTTCTTAACTTTCTTGAACCTCCGCTTCTTTTTTAAACTGGTATTAACCTAAATAAAAGAGAATTATTTTTGTTAATAAATACTTCAGTAATGAAATTTTATCAAGCTTTTTTTGCTAAATATATAAAATTTATTAAATTTTCATTTAATTTGTATTCTTCTAGGCTTCAATTCACGAATTCAAGGCTTTGAAGATAAGTTTGAAATCTTTGGCATTTCTGGCTAAGTTCTTAATCTATAAGTTTGATAATCATTATACCAATTACTATGAGTAAGTTATTCTAAGCTATAATTTATTATAAAATTAGCATGTAATATTTTAATAATTCAATTAAAATAAAGTTATCTCAAAGAATTTTTTGCAATTGTGCATGGTAATTTTATTACAAAATAGGAGAAATTAAAGTTTTTAAGGTCTTATTTACCTTCTCGAATTCCTGATGCTATTCATAAATACCTGATCTAGAGATAACACAATTTTCTCTATCATTTTGAATACTTCTAGTTGAAGTCGTATTATCTGAACCTCATTTGTAACTTCTATTAAGTGGTAGATAGGGTGGTATATTGCAGATAAAATAGGAAAGAATGCCCATTTAGCAGGTCTCTTTAATAAGGATCATTAATTTTTATAGCCTTTCGATAATTAATTATTACTTGAAGGTAAACAAATAGCTATTAAAAATTAATATTATTAATTAAAAGCTTAATAAAAAAAATAAAAAACCAATAACCTGTTCATATTTTATTTGATAAAATGAATCTTATTTTTTGCCTCAAATAAGATATCCTTTGACCGATAAGTAAAGTTGCTTTTTACATATAAGTATATAAGTTTTATAGAGATTGCTTAATGATATATGTTGCAAATAGAATCCTAAGACTTATGATGATCTGCATATTTTTTGAAGTAGAAAAGCTGATTATTTGTTCAATAACCTTAACATACTGCAAATTATTTTATATTAATTTTTCTAGTATAGATTTAGTTAAGAATTAAGAATATATCAAGCAAATAGAAAGATTTTATGAAATAAATAAAATTTTTAATTACCAGTTTAATTTTATAAATGCTTAAAACATATATATTTCTTTATACAGTTGTTTTAATATAATTACTAGTTAAGAAAATTTCTTCTTTATTTTCATAATATAATAGTATAGAATACCATTATAAATTACCACTATTCATTTTTAAATTCCATTTCTAATACCTGTTATTATTTCTATAAAAAGAACTTTTTTAATATTTGCAATAGAATTGGAGTTAATATTGATTGGATCAGGAATGTAAATTTCAGAAACGTTAATTCTTTGATCAGTAATTAGTTATTAAGTAAGACTAATCCTTAAAATAGATATAATGTTTGACTCATCACTAAAATTGTATAGTTTAAAAATAAGCGAGTTTCAGTTAGATTATTTTTAACTTTAGCTATTTTTTGAATTTCAGTTAATGTTGACAATTGTATTTACATTATAGGCATGCTTTTTTTTTAATTTTTAATATTTTATTTATAGTAACTAAGACATTCTTTCATATTAGTAATGTTAATTCTTATAAATTATATAAAAATATCAATAGTATTAATAGGAGATAATTTTTCTTCAGATAATAAATTAAAAATATTATTAAGATAATTATATAATTCTTTATCAATTATTTCTTGCATTTGAGAAGTTGATATTAAAATGCTCTTCATATTGTAACCTACATCAGTAAATTTAATAATGCGAAGTATTACGTAAACCCTACGCTTCGTAATCTTACGTAAGGTTACGAGCCCG